GACAAAAGAGCCTTCTACTGGAAAAAGATACCATCTAAGACTTTCACAGCTAAAGAGGAGAAGTAAATGCCTGTCTTCAGTGTTTCAAAAAACAACCTGACTCTCTTGTTAGGGTCTAATACAGCTGGCAACATTAGGTTGAAGCCAGTGGTCATTTACCAATCAAACCATCCTAGAGCCCTTTAGAATTATGCGAAATACACTCCGCCTTTGCTTTACAAAGGAACAGCAAAGCCTAGATATCAGCACATGTGTTTACAGGATGATTTACTGAATATTTTAAGCCCATTATTGAGATCTACTGCTTAGAGAAAAAGATTTCTTTCAAAATAGTACTGCTCCAGTCACCCAAGAGCTCTGATGGAGATGTACAAAGAGATCAAGTGTTTTCATGCCTACTAACACAATATGTATTCTGCAGCCAATGGATCAAGGAGGAATTTTGACTTGGAAGTCTAAAAAATAAGAGTTCATAAGGCTGTGGCTGCTTTAGATAGTAATTTCTCTGATGCATCTGAGGAGAGTAAATTGAAAGGATTCACCATTCTACATGACACTAAGAATATTGATGATTCTTACTAGTGGGTCAAAATACCAACATGAACAGAAGTTTGGAGAAGTTGATCCCAACCCTAAATAGATGACTTTTAGGTGTTCAAGACTTCACTGGAAGAATTAAATGCAGATGTGATATAAATAGCAAAAGAACTAGAATTAGAACTGGAATTTGAAGATTTGACTGAATTGCTGCAATGTCATGATAAAACTTGAATGGACAAAGAGTTGCTTGTTAGGGATGAGCATATAAAGTGGTTTCTGGGATGAAATCTTCTGGTGAAGATGCTGTGATCCTTGTTGAAATCACAACAAAAGATAGAGAACAGCAGTTCTCAACCTGGGGGTCACAACCCCCAGTAACTGTATTAAAGGGCTGCAGCATTAGGAAGATTGAGAACCACTGATATAGAATGTTACATAAACTTAGTTGATAAGTAGCAGGATTTGGGAGATTGACTCTCGATTTTGAAAGAAATTCTGTGGGTAAAATGCTGTTCATCAGCATTACGTGCTACAGAGGAACCTTTCACGAAAGAGTCAGTCAGTGCGGAAGACCATGTTACTGTCTTATTTTAAGGAATTGCCATAGCTACCCCAGCCTTCAGCAAACATGACCCTGATCAGTCAGGAGCCATCAACATCTAGGCAAGACCTTGAACCAGCAAAAAGATTACTCTTTACTGAAGGCTCATATGATCATTAGCATTTTTAACAATACAATATTTTTAATTAAAGTGTGTACCCCCTTTTTAAGACATCATGCTATTACACACCAATACACTGTAATACAATGTAAACATAACTTTCACATGCACTGGGAAGTAACAGAAATGTTACTGTGTGACTTTTTTGCAATATTCACTTAATTGCAGTGGTATGGAACCTAATCCATACTATCTTGAGGTATATCTATATTTTTAAGTGATTCTCATGAACCCTCAAATTTGAAAACCTCTAGGCTAGAGGAACAGTGAGAGCATAGGACTATGATGTTGAAAGTCACAGCATAGGATGATTAAAAGGCCAAGAGTATATGTATCTTTTATCTTAGGTGCATATATCTGTGTATCAGTAAAAAACTGTAAGATTGTCTTGTTATAAAGTTGAATGTGTTATACATAGACAAGACCTACCCATTTTGTTTAAATCACTGCTTTCCTGATTACAGCATTTAAGTAAACCAAGTAAATTTAAAACAGATTAGTCTTACCAGGGAGGCATCAGACTTCTAACATCTCCACCCAGATTTTCTGTCCCATATTCACTTACCTGCCTACTGAACTTTTCCATTTAGATGTCTTGTTGGAGCCTCTAGTCTCTAAGGTTGCATGTATTTATTACCTTTCTTTTCTGACCTGTGTTGCCTTATATATTTTCTGTTTGAGATACCTGGATCGCTGTCACCCAGTTCCTTAAGTCAGTTATGTTTGGCTTATTTCTCACCACATAGTGTCAGTTCTATCACTTCATAGCTTTCAAAGATAGCTTTTTCTCTCCTCTCCACTTCTCTCCTCTCCACTTTTCTAATTTAAATTATCATTAGTTTCTTCCTGCATCACTTTAACAACCTCTTAACTGGTCTCTATGCCTCAGCCTCTAAGTCAGGAGCACCAGAACAAGCAATGGGAAGTACAACCCTGATTGGTCCTTTGCTTACAACTGTAAAACGGCTCCCTGTTGCATTCTTGATAATAAAGTGCCGCCTCCTCAACTTGGGTTTAGGTTCTTTGTGATCTGCCTCGCACTTTCCTTTCCAGCCTCATTTCTTGTCTGTGGCATTGTCAAGGTCTTTTCTTGTCAAGGACCTCCAGTTCTTGGCACCTGCTGCCATCCTCAACTTGAAGTAGCAGTTTTACCTTCTTTTATCAGGATGACACTGTGAATAAAGCCTTCTCTGACCTTCTGACTGTAGATGAGAGCATAGTGCCCTGAATTTTGCCTCATGTATCACTGAACACATTTATTGCAATTACCTATTTTCTATAACCCAGCACACCGTTACTTTCCTCCTCCTCCTTCCCCAGTAGAATATAACTATCAGCTACACAAGGGTCGAGACTGTCTGTTGTACCTTAATATTACTGGCTGTAATGCATTAACTGGTAAATAACAGATAAGCAGTAAACACATTGAAGTAAGTCAGTATTCTGGGTATGGTAATTTCAAATAGTTTTAAAAGTTAATGGATGGGAATTTAAATTTTCTAACCTTCACATGTCTCACACTTTCATCCTTCATCCTCTTCATTTGTCCATTCACCACTTAGTACTTAGAGAATACCTTCTGTGTACCGGGAACTGTGATCATTGTTACGGTTCTATAGTGATGACTGAATAATCTTTATAACAGTGCTAATTCTCGAGTGGAGGAAGCAGACAGTTAAAAAGTAGTTTATGTACAGTACATAGAGACCTAGGCAGGAAAATAATACAGTGCTAAGGGAACAACTCGAATGGAGGCAGCTAACCAAATTTGGAGAGTCTGAGGAAGTGTTACCTGAGCCAGTACTTAAAAATTTAGTATGGGTTTTTCAGTTGAAGAATGGGGATATGTTGTTACATGCAAAGGGAGCAGGCAGTACAGTCTACCGGTGAACAAGAGAAGGTGGCACTTTTTGACTAGATAGTGATGCCTTCGAAAGGAGAGCAAGCTGGGAGTATGTTTGGGCAGGTCTGTGTTCTGGAGTGGCTATAGTGTAGGGGTGCACTGAAGGAGGCAGAAGTGAGCTAAGCCAGTTAGATGGAGTAGGGATGAAGGAGAGCAGCCACAATTTAGGAAAAGGCTTATGGGGGCTAGGTAGTGATAAATGGATTAGAAACATATTTTGGACAAAGAATTAACAGTCTTTGGCAATGGATTAGATTAATAGTGAAGAAAGGAACTCTCTTTCTAAACTTTTTCTTTTTCTTTTTTTTTTTTTCTGTAGCTCCTGGCAAGTATGAGGCAAGGATTTCATGGAAGAACTTGGAGCAAAAATTCCTACTGCCATTGCTGTAGACTGTCAGGTCCTGGGGGAGCATCAAGAAGGACTAAAAGGTACAGTGTCCTCAGAAGGTGGCTGGCATCTGTGGGTGAGAAGCGTTGCAGCAGTATATCTGGTCGGAGAGGAAAGTAATAGCAAACTATCTATTAGTGGTCATTTTTGTTTCCTGTACTTGAACTTGATGAACATGCAGTCTTTGCCAGTAAGTCGTCTAGGATCCATAGGTAATTTTAAAATATCATCTTTTGTCACAGGTATTCCCAATTTCAAAAAGCACAAGTTTATTTTAGGATGCACTTTTCAGTTCTTTACTTTCTAGCAAATTGCGTTTACTGTCTATTTAGTAAAAATCTTGAAGTAATAGAATTTGAACGAACTTTGAAAGTCAGTTTGTCTCCAGCCCTTTGTTTTCTAAGTGGAGAGCCAAGGCAGAGATCAAGTGAAATGACTTGTCAGAGGTCACATGGCCATCTGAGGTCACGTAGCCAGCCAGTGCCAGTGAGCTTCAGCTGGAGCCACACCTACTCTGTTGCTGTGTTGTGCCTTTTAAGGTATAGAGATGACGATCAAGATTGGTGTGTTTGAGGGCCCATTTTAATTTTTTATGTTTTTCCCCAGTTTTATTGAGGTAGAATTTAACAAACAAAAATTGCATATTCAAAATATGCATTATAGATGATTTCCTATGTATATACAGGGTGAAATGAATACCATGATCAAATTAATTAATACATTCATCACCACCTGTAGTTAGTTACCTAGTTGTTTACTATGTGTGCGTAGGGGCTAATGGTGAGGACACTTGAGATCTGTTAGCAGATTTCAAATAAAAAGTTAAGTTAGCCCCCTGAATTTAGATCTGAAAATTTGTATCTTTTGACTAGAATCTCTCCGTTTCTAGTACACCCTAATCGTCTAGCAACTGCTGTTTTATTCTTTTCTTATATGAGTTCAACTTTTTTAGATTCCACATAGAAGTGAGATCATACAGAAGGTCCATTTTAGAAACTAAACTTAAGCATGATTCTTCCTGAGTTGGATTTGCCGGTTCATTAGTAAAATTTAACAGATCTAAACTGGTCTATATAATCAACTATAGCAATTACTCGGTGTTTTAACTGCATGTGCTTGCACATAATAGGCATTTAATGTATATTAATCATAGCTGGCTAACCATTAATTAGCTTTTTATGTTTAATTTAAGATTTTTTTCCCTTAATTTGTTTCCTTAGTATATTTATGAAATTATTATAAGACAAATTTTATATCAGTTTTCTTCCTGAAGCACTGTATGATGTGTATATTTTTAGCACCTTATAAAAGGCATTTCTGCATTTTTGGTGCTTCATGCTAAGACTTAGTATTTTCTGCACTATGTGATATAATAATATATGTATATTGTTCATTTATTTTTCTAACTTCCTTTATAAATACAGAATTTATTTGAGGAAGAGTAAGTGACATTTTGAAAAATATACCCATTGAGTAAATAGAAGTGCTAGAAATCAAACTGAGGTTTGATGTACACATCTACTGCAGTGTTCTGGGGTAGTTCATTGTATTTGTTACACTTATATTTCTCCATTAGTCCTGCTTTTATCAGCCTTCTTACTGTTTTAGAATTCTAGTTTCTCCCTACTAGAATACCTGATCAAGGAATGTTACTTAAAAGTATGTTTGTGGAAATAGGTTATGAGCATTTGGGTTTGTTGGGTTTTTTTAAAGTTGTTATTCCTTGTATAAGGTGGGGCAAGAATAAAAACAGAAAAAAATGGAAAAGAAAAAGGTGGGGGAAGAAAGAACGGAAAAAGAGAGAAGAGAGACAGAAGTTCCGAGAAAGAAGTAGCAGTTCACCATACTATTTTTCAGCTACTGAAAGGCCCATTTCCTATGTGTCTTGTGCAATTTACCTATTATAATTTTCCAAACGTAGTTGAGAAGGGTAATAAAAGATTGCAGTAGTTTGATGATAATCCATAATTGTACTTTTTTCCTAGAAACCTTAAGAGAAGATATGGCTTCTAGAAAAGAGAACACGAAGAGTCCAGACAGAGTCCTGAGAGTCAGTCAGCTGGATGCGCTGGAACTAAACAAGGCCCTGGAGCAGCTCGTTTGGTCCCAGTTCACTCAGTGCTTTCATGGATTTAAGCCAGGCCTGTTAGCCTGCTTTGAACCAGAAGTGAAAGCTCTCTTGTGGCTTTTCTTGTGGAGATTCACCATCTACTCCAAAAATGCTACTGTGGGACAGTCAGTTTTGAATATTCAGTACAAAAATGATTTTTCCCCTAACCTGAGGTATCAGCCACCAAGTAAAAATCAAAAGATCTGGTATGCTGTTTGTACAGTTGGTGGGAGGTGGTTAGAAGAGCGATGCTATGATTTGTTTCGAAACCGTCATTTAGCATCATTTGGAAAAATCAAGCAGTGTGTAAATTTCATGGTTGGACTTTCGAAATTAGGTGGTTTAATTAATTTTTTGATTTTCCTTCAAAAGGGAAAGTTTGCAACTTTGACAGAACGTCTCCTAGGCATTCATTCTGTATTCTCTAAGCCTCAGAACATTCGTGAAGTTGGCTTTGAGTATATGAATAGGGAACTTCTCTGGCATGGTTTTGCTGAGTTTCTGATTTTTCTCTTACCACTTATCAACATCCAAAAGTTAAAAGCCAGATTATCTTCATGGTGTATCCCTCTTACTGGTGCTCCAAATAATGATGATACATTAATCACCAGTGGCAAAGAATGTGCTCTATGTGGAGAGTGGCCCACCATGCCTCATACCATCGGATGTGAGCATATCTTCTGTTATTACTGTGTTAAGAGTAGTTTCTTATTTGACATGTACTTTGCTTGTCCTAAGTGTGGCACAGAGGTGCACAGTCTGCAGCCACTGAAATCAGGGATTGAGATGTCAGAAGTAAATGCTCTTTAGATACTAAAATTGTTCCCTCTAAGGAAAAATATCATGTTTAATCCTTAATATTCTCTGGGAGGCCAAGGCAGGTGGATTACCTAAACTCACAGGTTTGAGACCAGCCTGAGCCAGAGCAATGCCTTGTCTCTAAAAATAGCTACCAGGCATTGTGGTGGGCGCCTATAGTGCCAGCTGCTTGGGAAGCTGAGGCAAGAGAATTGCTTGAGCCCAAGAGGTTGAGGTTGCTGTGAATTGTGATGTCATGGCACTGTACCGAGTGTGAAAAAATGAGGTTCTGTCTCAAAAAATAAAATAAAATAAATCCTTAATATTAGTCATCCTAAGTTTACCATTTAGATGTTCTTTATAAGGCATGTGCTTCTCAGCTACTATCTTCTGTTCTCAGTTGTGATTTTATGCTTTTTTTCTTATGCTCATTTTTTAAGGGGTTTGGTCCTCAGTTGTCATATTCCTTCACAATTGACTTCTTATGTGTAGAAAGTAAAAATTGCTTAAGGCAGTTTAGAAGTAAAGCCTGGGAGCAACTAAGGATAATACGAAAAACACTGTACACAGGTCTCTTTCTGTAGCCTTTGATTCAGAACTTACATTCTCAGCAAGTATATTAATAGTTTCATGAAACATTGAGGTGTGCAGCGCAGTAATAGTAAAGCAATACATACCAAAGTAATTCTGTATAGTTCACTCCATTTCTTTGCATTTTTCACTTAAAGGCTCATAAAAGAACCTTTTGCTACATAACAGTAATATGAGAAATATTTGGAATGTTTAAGTTACTTCAGCAAAATAATAATACTTATTTTTAAACCACTTCTCAATTTTTGTGCTTTGACAATAAACCAAAATACAAGATAGGATATATTAGACTTTGATTAAAAAAAAAAAAAAGTTGAAATAGTTCACACAGCATTAAATTTAACCATAGGCTAACAAAGGCTGTGCTATTTACTTTCAACTGATTATTACACAGGTAAAATCACAGTGTCAATATGTAACATACATATTTTTTTAATTCTTAAAGTGGTATGGAATTAGCCTGAACATTGATTTGTCTCAAGTTTTAACAAGAATGTTTTTTAAAATGCAGGTCTTATGTAATAAACATCTTGCTAGGAAAATAAAATTATTAGGCAGAAATACGCTGCCAGCTCATTTTTCTGTTTCCCTCTAATTCGTCAAGCACTTAGGGCATTGATGTAGCAACTAGGGATAGAACGGTGAATAAAACAGTTCCCTTTAGGAGTTTACATTCTACATTAAATGGATTATAAGTTTAATTTAGGTTCAATTTAGAATAAGATACCCAAAGAATTTTGTATTTTGAAAGGTAAAAGTATTCCATATCTTTAAAAGTTTGCCCTTTTTTCCCTCTAATTTTGAAACATTACTTTAGAAAACTTCAAAAATTCTATATTGTTGAAAATTTTAAAACTTCAAAAGTTTTCTTATAATTGTTTTTAGCAGAGATCACAATATTCAGACATTTCATTTTTGTCATTTTATTGCACATTTCTTATTAGCAAAATTGGTACAATGAATATGCAATTGGGCAACCCAGAGGGAGCTCTGGAGCCAGTATTTTCTGTCAAAACATCCTAGAGGGGGCAAAGTAAACAGGCCGTTTTTCAGTGCCTGTATGTCGGCTGCTCTGGTAAGAGTGTGACCTCAAGCACAGGAGCTCTCAGCGGAAGCAGACCCTGAAGAAGCTCACAGCTGAAGGCATCTGCTGACCACACTCTCCACAGCTGAGCAACAAGTCCATTCTTAAAGGAGGGGCTGGGTGGCATATCTTAGGCTTTACCCCATCAATTTTTTTTTCTGCATAGTTTCCCCTTTTTTGTTTGTCTTGCTTATGGGACACTTGGACCCACACTAATGGTAGGTGATATTCAATTTGTAACTGACTGACAAACCAAAGTGTCTCTTGAGATCTGCCTCATTGCAGATTCTAGACCTTTGGGCAAGTTGCTATGACAGTCCCAGGAACCCCATTCAGTCCCTGAGCACTGCCAGAGAGTTTCTCTAATGCCAGTGCAACTGTTTCTACTCCCCAGCAGCCTCATGTCTCAAAGTTTGAGAAAACTCTCTTAGCTATGTGATATATTTCCATTTCAGTCTCAAGAACCTAAACATCAATTGCCAGTGTTCTTCCATGGGAAACTAAAAACTTAAATAGTGGCATTTTCTCTCTCTCATACACTTTGTTTTCAAATCAGTTTTGCTACTCATATATTTAAAATACCCAGGTGTCTTCAGTGGTCATTTCTAAATTATTAAGATACCAATCAGAGCTAACACAAAATATGTCCTACTCTCTTGCTTTAAACTCACCTGCTTTTAGTAGTTAGCAACTTTGGGTTTGGGGTAAGTTATTTTACTTCTTTAAAATTGGATTTGTTCACCTATAAAATGGGCATTCAATAATGTCTACCTTGTAGGATTGTAATGGACTTTAACTTAAATCATTCTCTCAAAAATTATTTGTTGAACCCTGCAGACATCTTTCATCTATACTCAAAGAATATATTCATGAGTAAGCGAAACTGCTGTCAGTGGAGTTTACATTCTTTGAGGGGTGATAGAGAGTAAACACATGTACTCTGAGGAAAATAAAACAGCTTAAGGAAATAGTCACCAGGGATACTACATTGAATTGCATGCTCATGGAGGCCTCTCTGAGGAGGTGAAATTTGAAAAGAGGCCTGAAGGAAATGAAGGAAGACTCTGAGGATAAAGAAATGCAAGTATTCAACCTCTGAGACAAGAGAGTCTTCCCTCATTGAGGAACAATAAGAAGTCCCAGTGAACAAGAAGAAGAGAAATGACAAGTGAAGTGAGTGAGGCAATGGGCCCTGGACCAGGTCATGTAAGCCCATGTAGGCCAAAGGGGTTGGGGGAATACTTGGTTTTATTCCAAGTATAAGCAGGCCACAGGAAGATTTTCTTAAGAGAAATATGATCAAATTAACATTTTGAAGGAATTACTCTGGATACTTTGTGGAGATGTAGAAGTAAAAACAAGAAAACCAGGTCAAAGGCTATTAGAAACAGTGTGATCCATCACTGTTATTTCAACAGTGTCACTGTCCAAAATGGTTAGGAATCCAGAAGCAAACAACCCCTGAAGAAAACTATTTTCATAGATTCCATGGACCAAAGCTCTACTCATGGTCAGTCAGTTCCTCAAGTCCCCAGTTAGAGGCTGCTTTATTTTGAATAAAATTCTAATAAACTTTTACCAACAGATTAAAAATAACAAAAGTGAGGAGGAAAACTGGTAAAAAGCAGACTTGTTTATAATGGCAAGCTGTAGTGGACAGGTTAGTATCAAGGAAAAAATCTTTAACAAAATGACTATAAAATTAATAACATTTAGAGTAGGGACATACAGGGTCCGAGTACCAGTTGTGAATAGTAATTGTGATTTTAAAAAATGGCCTTGTATCAATAAGATCTACCTCATATTCTGTATAATTTGGTTAAGAAGGAAGGGATATTAGTATTGCTATATTTGAGAAAGCATTCAAAATGTGTTGACATCTAAAAGCAAAATCTTAATTTACTTGAAACATACGCTTTTACCATAAAGCTATTTTTCCTAGCAACACTCAGTAAAGTGTTACTGTATTAAGAAGAGAGATTTTCATCAACAGAAAAATTCTGCACATACTTTTTAGCCAAACCAATTGGCCGTACAGTCTATAGACCTGATGATCCATAGTTGTTTGTGGCTAAAATGATTATATAGTATATGTTTATATTCATGCCCACAAATAAATTAGCAAGTGTTTTCCTTTTATGTCTTCTTTATTCCTTCAAAGAGTATGTACATCACAAAACAAGACAGAATATGCCTTCATATTTTCAGCTGTCCCCCTGGGCAGAGTGCCGTGGCATTACAGCTCACAGCAACCTCCAACTCCTGGGCTCAAGCGAGTCTCCTGCCTCCGCCTCCCAAGTTGCTGGGACCACAGGCGCCCGCCACAACGCCCGGCTATTTTTTGGTTGCAGCCGTCATTGTTGTTTTGGCGGGTCCGGGCTGGGGATTCCAACCCGCCACCTTAGGTGTACGTGGCTGGCGCCTTAGCCGGTTGAGCTATAGGCGCCGAGCCTAGGTAGTCTCTTATTTCCTGTGTTTTCAAAAAAAAATTTTATAGCTTTAGAATGTAAAAAGCAAACAAACAAACAAAAAAAAAAATAAGTACCAGGAAGGTATATAATGACCTTCACCAACTCCTGAATTGAGTTGTTATTCTAGCAACTATACCTAGTCAAATAAGGGTTAGCCAACTGACTTCTGTGGCCAGGATATCCAAAAGTATGATACTTTATAGGTAGTTCATTTTCCTTGTTATTAGCAATAGAGTAACTTATTCTCGTTAACGGGTTCAACTTGTACCTTTGCCAGACTCCAAAACCAATAAAACAAATCTCTTTACTGAAGTAATACTGATTTTCAAAATCAGGTGGATGTTGAATTTTAAAAAAATATCCATTGAACTCAAGAATCTATCTGAAGGAATGGATACAGATTTATTGAAAAGGTATTTATTGTAGCACTATTTATAGTAGAGATGTGAAACAATATAAATGCTCAACAATGTGGAAATAAAATGCAAAATTAATAATTCTACATGGAAAAGTGTTCACAGTATGATATTAAAATGAAGGATGTAGGATACTAAAGTAAATCAAGCCTCAATGATGAGATAACAGGCACATGGGTCTTACAATCAACACCTCTTAGTAATTCTTTTTTATTTTCTTCTTTATACTTTTCTATATGTCTTAAACTTTCTACAATGAGCATGTAATACTTTTTAATGGGACCAAAACAAGTTATTTTTTCCAATCTCATGGCCAACTTTGTTTCAGTTCAATTCAAAGGTTCAACATCTGAACAGGTAGTAAACAAGTCTTTTGAATACCTAAGAGAATTTGGGATATAAGATTCTAAATTGCTAAAGTATCAATTTTTACATTAAAGTAAAGCCTACCTGTATAGC